AAGCACAGGCTCCTGTTTCCCAGGTTTGGGAAACAATTCTGGGCCCACAGAGCTCAGCTTTCCAACTTGCGCCATGGACACTTTATCAGAACTACTTGATAAACAGCTTTAACATTTTCTCAAGTGAAAGTCTCATAGGAAAAGTAAAATCCATTCTTCCATCAAAAGTGAGGTTCCTGTAGTCAAATCTTCTCTCTCTGCCATGGGCAGGCGCGCGAAGGCCTCACCTGGCGTGTCCTACAATAGCCTGCCAGCACCCTATGCTCGCCATCTCCCTGCTCCGCCCGCTCCTTGCCTCTGCTCTCAGGCCCTGTGCCTTTGCTGTGCCAAACGTGTTCCCTTAAAGCCATCATATTTATTTCCCCCCTGTCTGGAACACTCTACCTCAGACTTAGGCATGGTTGGTTTCTTCTTATCATTCAGACCTCAGCCCAAATGTCACCTCCCCAACAAGGTCTTCCCTGATCACTCAAACAAAAGTAGCTACTCCAGCCCCCAACACATCAGTTTATTTTTCCATAGCGCTCATTGTCTCAAATGGTATTTATTATGTATTACATGCTTATTGCTCATCTCTTCCCTTTAAAGTGTGAGCTCTATGAGAGCAGGAGGCTGGTCTGGATGGTCATCCTCCATCCCTGCAACAAAGCCTAACCACTTGTGAATGTCTATGGCATGAAAGGATGAACTGCTGCTCTGGAATATTACCCAGCAACCAAAAAGAAATGAGCTCTCGCACCATGAAAAGACATGGAGAAAAGTTAAATGCATATTGTTAAGTGACAGGAGCCAATCTGAAAAGGCTACACACTGTATGATTCCTGCTATATGACATGCTAGAAAAGGCCAAACTATGGAGACAGTGAAAAGATGAGTGGTTGTCAGGGTTAAGAGGGAGGTAGGGATGAATAAGTGGAACAGAGAGGATTCTTAGGGCAAATCTTACGATACTACAATGGTGGACACGTCATAATACATTTTTTCAAACCCATAGAGTGTGCGGCACCAGGTGTGAGCCCCAATGTAAACTATGGGCTCTGGGTGACAGTGACGTCTCAATGCAGGTACATCGATTGTAGTATATGTACTGACCGGGTGGGAGTGTTAACGAGAGAGGCTACACGAGTGGGGTCAGGGGACACATGGGAAGTCTTTATGCCTACTGCTCAATCTTGCTGTGAACCTAAAACTGCTCTAAAAATAAAGCACAAGTTGTAGAAGTGGTTTAAGCGTGTAAGTGGAACATCAAGAAAGATTATTTGACATTGGGATTGTTCAGGGAAAGCTAGAGTTCAGGAAAGCCTAAACTCAAACTATAGGCAGTGTTTTCCAATTGGAGTTCCATATTCTGTGCTGAACTAGTTAAAGCGTTTCTTTGCTGAGGGGCTGAATGCTCACCCAGCTCACGCACCTGTACTGTGAATCTCTAGAGCGAATAGCACATGTAGCTATTTCCTGACACTTGATCCAAAGCCCATCCTTTGTGCCATGTCTCTTTTATGAATGAGTCTGACCCAGCTGAATGCCAGTGTTACCCTGTGGAGAAGCAGGAGTGGCGGCCTTGGGTTCTGACCCACTCTATCGGTGATAATAATAACGAATATTTGTACTGCAATTTTCTTCCAAAAGTTGTTGCATTTGGTTCTCAAACTATCACGGTGAGGCAGGTGCTGTCACCTTCACTTTCAGGTAACAGGCAGGTTAGTGGGACCCGTCCGGCGTCACAGGCAGTGCTGGATCCTCCCTGACGGCAGCGGGCCCTGCTCCGCCGAGTCGGAGCCCACGCGGCTCTCTGGCTGGGGCGCCTGCTGGGGGCCACTGCCCTTTCTGCGCCTAAGCCCTCGTCTGGAGGCTGCCCACGTGCTCTCTCAGACCCTGCCAAATTTCCATTCCTCCCTCACCGATAGCTTTAAAAAGGACTGAAATAATGAGATCTTTCTACTTGCAGTTGCATCGCTCTTTCAAAATCTGATTCTGATGCTCAAGATCAAATTATGAAAAATGTGCCTTTCTTTTCAAGTAATGCCTAGAACCAGGACACCTTGAAAAAGAACTGGTTTATTAAGCACAGTGTCCTTGGAAGGGTCTTCATTTTGTTTTTTTAATGTCATAAGAGGATTTTCCTCTGAGCTTATTTAAAAACTAAAGATATGGAAAAAATATAGCAACTTTTCTAGATATGAAGCCATTTGGAGCAAAATAAAAATAAATATGAAATATTTAATCACCAAGTAGCTAAATAAATAAACTTTTCCAAAAGAAAGGCCACGCCTAGCCTTCTGCATACCACTTACCTGGCACTTGGCTGGCGCAGTGTGTTCTTCACGTAGGAACTGCCTCTGGCCACACAGAGGCCAGCACTGCAACTGACTTGTATTGTTTTTCCTCCACAGGGAATTCTGTTTTGTCTCGAACTTTTATTTGTGCCAAATAGGGAAAAAAAACCTTCTTTTGGTGTCTCATGAAAACACTGTACACAGAAAACTATATTTGCAGTCTTTTTTGGAGTTTTATTTTGCTAAAAAGTAGAATTCACATGGGCAGAAAAAAGAAAAACATGCCAACTATTTTTGTGCACACCTCTAACACACATTTTCCACTTCTGAAATCTTAAAATTAAAAAAGAAATCTCACAGCAAAAGTATGCGGGTTGAAAAGTTAACATTAGAAAACTGAGATTCCTAAAAAAAAAAAAAAAAAAGGCAAAGCTAGGTTCCTAACACCAACACTGCAAGTATAAGTCACTCCGCTGCAAAAAGTCAGTGCTTACAAATGTTAAATAAATGTCAGCAATAAGGAGACAGGAAACGCAGATCCAAAGCATACTCCCCAGCATGAACTATTAAAAATTGTGTTTGGTGTTGTAGGCCATCCAAGGTGTTAACTAGAAATAGATACAACCTTAACCCTGACACTACACCAAACTTACAAACACGGAGGAAACCATATTCAAACCTACCTCCTTTCCCTGCTACCTTAAAAAACTTTTTATGTTTGCTTTGTGTTTTGGTAAACAAGAGTCCCTCAGAATCTACACCAGCTCTGAGATGTAGAAAAACTGACTCAATAAATGACTATGAAGCTCTCCTTTAAGATAGTTCACTTTTCCTTTTAATGATCACATGTATGTGTGAGTGAGTGTGTAAACCCTTTTAAAAGATATTTTTGGAAACTTAACTCTAGGAAACTCTTTCCTTTCCTCAAGACCAGTCCCTGATAATTTAATTGTTTTGTTTTGTTTTGTTTTAGAGAAAGCCTGCCTAGAGCCTTTCTGTATGTCTGCAACTTCTTGTCCCTGTACATTTGAACTTTCCAAAAATAACAGAATGCTCCAAGGTACTTGTTTGCAGCTCCTGAAAAACCTGCAGGCACTCCCCACAGAGTTTACTCTGCCTAGGGCTTCCTACTCCCTTTCTCACAGCACCAAGCTAAATAAGGGCCCCGTGGCAGGAGCACCTTATGTCCCTCCTGGTGCTCCCTGGGAGACACTGGTGGTTTTACCCTTGGAATGAAACCCAGGCTTCCTGCTAGGGACACATCTACCTGCTCTCTCTCCCTTGGGGAGAAGGGACATGTTCAGGTAAAAGGCAGTCCCTGGAAGCTCAGTGCCCAGAAAAAAAACATGTTCTGATGCTTCTCAGAAAAGACTTCAGGTGTGCAAATAGAAAACCCAAAACAGGAGTGAGCAGAGGAGGAGGAGTGCGTTGGGAGAGTGCCTGAGTATTGTGCTCAAGTGGGAAACATCCACCCAAACTGCTCACTTCAGTGCACATCCAATGAGCATAACAGTGTTTCCTAAAAGGGAGAGGCCAGGGACCATTTCCAACCTCAGGAACTACAGCTTCTCTCTTTATCCCCAAACAGCTTCAAATGCCTACTTAACACAAACTATTACTAATATTTTAAAGAAGTTTAAAGGTCCAAGTCTATTTTAATAAATACTTAAATAATTGCTTCATCAACCCAGCTCATACATTTTCAAAATATTGGCCAAAATGGCAAACGAGTATGGATCAGTCCATCTTTTCCTTCCAGCAGTCAGCACAGTGGTGCATAACCAGTGAGGTGCATCTGCAGGAGCAAGGGGAGAGGGTGCTGATCCGTCTGCAGGAGCAGGGGGAGAGGGTGCTGATCCGTCTGCAGGAGCAGGGGGAGAGGGTGCTGATCCGTCTGCAGGAGCACGGGGAGAGGGTGCTGATCCGTCTGCAGGAGCAGGGGGAGAGGGTGCTGATCCGTCTGCAGGAGCACGGGGAGAGGGTGCTGATCCGTCTGCAGGAGCAGGGGGAGAGGGTGCTGATCCGTCTGCAGGAGCACGGGGAGAGGGTGCTGATCCGTCTGCAGGAGCAGGGGGAGAGGGTGCTGATCCGTCTGCAGGAGCAGGGGGAGAGGGTGCTGATCCGTCTGCAGGAGCAGGGGGAGAGGGTGCTGATCCGTCTGCAGGAGCAGGGGGAGAGGGTGCTGATCCGTCTGCAGGAGCAGGGGGAGAGGGTGCTGATCCGTCTGCAGGAGCAGGGGGAGAGGGTGCTGATCCGTCTGCAGGAGCAGGGGGAGAGGGTGCTGATCCGTCTGCAGGAGCAGGGGGAGAGGGTGCTGATCCGTCTGCAGGAGCAGGGGGAGAGGGTGCTGATCCGTCTGCAGGAGCAGGGGGAGAGGGTGCTGATCCGTCTGCAGGAGCAGGGGGAGAGGGTGCTGATCCGTCTGCAGGAGCAGGGGGAGAGGGTGCTGATCCGTCTGCAGGAGCAGGGGGAGAGGGTGCTGATCCGTCTGCAGGAGCAGGGGGAGAGGGTGCTGATCCGTCTGCAGGAGCAGGGGGAGAGGGTGCTGATCCGTCTGCAGGAGCAGGGGGAGAGGGTGCTGATCCGTCTGCAGGAGCAGGGGGAGAGGGTGCTGATCCGTCTGCAGGAGCAGGGGGAGAGGGTGCTGATCCGTCTGCAGGAGCAGGGGGAGAGGGTGCTGATCCGTCTGCAGGAGCACGGGGAGAGGGTGCTGATTCAGGGGTGGCCCTGTCCACCCCTGCGTTCTGAGGCTGGCAGAGTGTGAGGCTCCTCTTCCCCACCCAGGGTTGGGCATGTTCTCAGCCCATTTGCTACCCTGTTTCAGGCACTGTCTCTCTCTTCCACAGGCCCCAGCCTGCTGGGGGCAGGGCTGCCAAGGAAAACATCATAAGAGAGCATAGGACCGGGAGTGAAAGACTTGCACGTGACTGGGCATTCACGCTCAAGAACCTCACAAAGCAAAACAAAGGCCAGACAGAACCCAGAGCCGTTTTTAAATCTCCACACACAGCAAAACAAAACTGGAAAAACCCAATTTCACTTTCCTGTCTCAATTCAAACAGGAGCCAGGCCTTCTGGACCTCGGTGTTGCCGACTGGGAGAGGGGAGCCCTCAGCAGCGTGAGCCAGAGCCTTCCTGCAGCTGACCCGTTGCCCCTCGGCTCCCAGAAGACTTCGTCTGCATGTCTGGCTCCCCTTAGAAGGGTCAAGTTTGTTCGGTCTGAAGTCTGATGCTGAGGGACAGCTCCATGACACTAGTAACGGAACAACACTTCCTTTTTTGGTGAGGAAAGCCCAATCGGTCTGAGCTAACAATCTCTCAGCTCTGGCTCTAAAAATACCCAGCAGCGCGAACTGTTTGGCACTTTATTCTGTTTGCCAGGAGGGCTCTAAACTCCACAGAATGCTGCCAGTTCTCAGCAACTGCCCGCTCTGCCCCCGCTCTCAGGGCCTCAGGAAGTGTATCACTTTGGGAAAGTTACTTTTTGTTTCTCACTTTTGAGTTCTTGGAGCTCTCTCCTAAAGATCTGAAGTACAATTCCAGTCTTGGATTAGTTACTAGCTTGGTTTAGGGATCTTCATTTGGATTCTAGTCTGAACTATGCAAATACACAATCTGTGTACAGAAGAAAGGACTAAAACTATACTTCAAAAGAGCTCAGTTGCTTCCAGTCTTCCCCCTTTCCTCCGAAAAGAAACACCAGCCTTCTTGAAGCCTGTCGCCAGAGGCAGGGGCACTCCCGCCGGTACGCAGCAGACGCCAGGCTCCCTACACGTTGATGGCGTGTGCGTGCTTCTTGCACAGGGGTTTGTCCTTCTTGGAGTAGAACGGCTGCCCCTCCAGATTCACATGGCAGACCTGGAGGGAAGACAGGCCAGGGTGACGGAGCGCCGGGCCGCGCAGGCCGGGCGCAGGGGGCGCGGAAGCGGGCTCCGCCACCCCTTCGGGAAGGCGCCGTCACGGCCACGTGCAGGTGGGCAGCAGGCAGCAGCCCCTCTCCCACGGAAAAGCTAGCAACGGAAGCCAGCTGGATGAGTTAAACCATATAAAACTGAAGACTTCCAAAGAGGAACGTGGAACAAAACTCAAATTAAATTAAATTAATGGAACAGAGAAATATACATGATGAAGACCAACTGAAACTATCCAAAAGTTAACAAGAAACCCATACAAGTTCATAAGTCGGTATCGACAGAGATGATTAACATCTAAAGAAATACTGTTAGTAAACTAACAAACACATGAGAAAAATTACCCTCACTCATAAAGGAAAAAGAAAACCTCCATAATACCACTAGAGAATTATTAATTTAGTAAAATAAAAAATCAAACGAAGCAAAAAACCCTCAATAGCTTGTCACCTTTAACCTTATATAACTATAGCCAGAAAGTGAAAAAAGGTAATCAGAAGTCAGCAGTGCCAAGGGGATCAGGCCTACTGTGCGCCGCTCAGCACACGGGAATGCTCGGGCTCCTGCAGGGGCTGTGGCCGTGCAGAGAGGCGCCCTGGAGATGTGCCTGCCCTGCACCCCAGTGGCCCCGCTCTGGATAAGTGTATCTTGCAAAAACTATTGCACAGACAAGAAAGCAACGTGTGCTCAACTAAAAACTGAAAACCACTAATATTTCTCTCAATAGGGAGATGATTAAATATTTATGGTACATTTTTCCAATGGAATGCCACCATGAAAAAGATAAATCGAATATGGAAAAGTGAATGCAGGGAAATATTATATGAAAAAAGGCAAAATGATATTTTCCCAAGATGGCAACATATGAGTACAGTTTGAAGATGGAGACATCACTGGAAGAAGGGAGCTAAGTAGTTCTTGGTGAGGTCTGTGGGTCAAGCAGGATGCCAGACACTCTATGTACATGATCTCATTTAATCCTCACAAAAACTTTATGGGATAGGTACGACTTTCCCCCTTTCACAATGGAAAAACTGAGGCTCGGAGCATCCAAGTGTCTTGTTTAAGTCACAGACCTAGTAAGCAGTAGAGCTGGGAACCCATGTCTAGATCTGCAAGATTCCAATTCTAAGCTCGTTTTCCCCACAGGCCACAGCAGAGAGGTGCTGTTTATTTGAAACTGTTCTGGATTCACAAACTTGTGTAGAAGTAGCCCACCAAGTTTTTTAGACTACCAATATATAGGCTGGCCCTGCGTGGGCAATAATGCCAATGTGTCAGAGTCAGCTGGGAAGTCACATTGGCTGGGATTGGCCCCAGCCTCAGAGAGGGCCATGAGGACCCCTAACAGGGAGTAGAATTGGGGGTCACCTCCAGGACACTAACACTGGATGAAGGAGTTCCCATGTATGGGGAGACACAAAGATGGAGAGAGCAACCTATTGAGATGATCTTGGGTCAGTGAGCATGTGTCCACTCCAACAGAGTTGGAGAGAAAAGTGGCATCATGGTGGTCGCATGTGCAAAGCCCTGATGGCCAGTTGAGGATGTTATACTTGGGGTCACACATACCTGCCAGTGGGCTCTGGGAGACAGCGACCTGAAAGTGTCTGAAAACATCCCAGGTAGATACAATCAGCTTAGTGTAACCAGGCTCTTATGGTGGCCTCAAGCTGATGATGACAACTTGGAGCCAAGTCCAAGAAGGTGGCACTCAAAATACAACTGGGGATAGGTTTCATGGGAGACAGAAAGGCAGCTGTGACAGTGCTGATTGCTTGTGAGAACTCTGGGATGAGTCAGGCTGGACAGGGTATTGAGAGGACTGAAGACCAAAGAGTGAGGAAGGGCCCAGAGCCTCAAATGTGGCTCACTAATAAGGTGAGACTGATGACAGGAACTGTCTTAGAGAGGTTGTGCTTAGTGTCTTGGGCCAGGAGACTGCAGGCAGGATGCAAGGTGGCTTCCTGGTGGAGGCGGCCCCCAGCCTACTCAGCACAGGGGCATGGCACAGATGTCCACCTCTCCAGCTCCGTGGTTTAGGAGCATCAGGGCCTGGCTGGGAAGGAGTGGTGACCATGGACAGTGCTGACTACAGAGTAGAAGGCCGTGAAATGGGCCAGGGGCAGCAGCCCTTAGGACTGCTCACAGAACTTATGCCAGCGTCCCTTCCTGACACCCATCCATGCAGGTGGAGGAAGGGCTAGAAACCAACTAAACTTGGAGGAAAAAAGGGGCCAGTAAGATATCTTTCCCCCAGTAAGGTAGGATCCAAACCCTTTTCCTGGAACTCAAGCTCCGAAGGCAGACAGGAGTTGAACCCTCACCCTAACCCACACTGCCTTTCTAAGCCTTCATTTTATGTGCTTGGCACTTTAGAGGTGCTCTCTTGTTCTGTTCTTTAGTTGCTTGTACATTAGCTTTGTTTTCCTTTCAAGATTCACAATTCCTTGAGTGGAGTTGTGCTCCCAGAACTTGGTAATTTGAAAAGGATGTGCTCTCCTGAGATATGACTGCTGGGAAAACAGCCTGTCAGCTGGAAGAGCTAATCCTGACCTTCCTTTCTTACTAGTGTTTTAAGTTATAGGAAAAAATATACGCTCGTAAAAAGTGACTTGAAAATATAAAGTGATAAAAAGAGAACCAAAAGAAGCCCTCAAAGTTTTCTAAGATTGTATTGTTTTCCAAAAATTAAAACTATGTTCCACTTGGATATATCCTAACAGGACAGTGACTGCCACACAGGGCTAATTTGGGGGAGGGCGTAATGATTCTCCAAAGGATGGGCCTGCCTGGCTTCTTTGGGTGGATCCTTTGGGCAGTGCTATGGGTCTCTCATACTTGACTAGAACTTGTTTGCAATCTCAGCCTCAACAACCCTAAGCTTTACTGCTTCTTCTGATCTCCCTCTGGGACTTGTGCTATCATGATTCTCAGCCAAACACAGCAGGCTTGAGGGAGCAGACCCATGCTCACCTTTGCCATGATTCCCTCTCCATGCGACACAGACCTCTCATCAGCCTGCCTTGGGAGAACAGGCCTTCTGTGCCACTGTTTCCCTGGACCTTCTCCAAGTCTCTTGGATTCTTCTAGAAGTTGGGTAATCAGACTTGCAGGCAGCATCTTAGGATCAGACAAGCCATGGCTTGAATGTAAGGGTCAGAGAGCCATGTTCTGTGCCTTGCTGAGCTGTGGCTCTGTCCCTCTTTGGAGTGGAGGCCCTGATGTATTTAAAGGACTATAAAAGGCAACTAGAGAATCTGTTCAAAGACCTGGAAAATCAGTGTTATGGACTGAATTGTGTGCCCCCACAAATTCATATGTTGAAGTCCCAACCCCCAGTACTTCCAGCTCACCAAGCGTAGGGATCCAACAGTGATCTCATTTGGAAACAGGGTCTTTGCAGAGGTCATTAAGACGTGGGTAAAGAAGAGGTCATACTGGAGTGAGGTGGGCCCTTAATCCAATATGACCTGTGTCTTTATAAGAGGAGAGGCACACAGAGACAGACACACACAGAGGAGAATGCCATGTGATGACAGACACACGGAGGTTAAACAGTCATGTGGTGATGGAGTCGGAGACTGAGGTTATGCAGTTAGAAGCCAAGAAATACTGAGGACTGCAGGCAAACACCGGGAGCGAGGGGCGAGAGCATGGCCCTGCTGACACCTTGAATTTGGACCTCTAACCCCCAGAACTGTGAGAGGACACACTTCTGCTGGCTAAGCCATTTGTTATGGTACTTCGTGATGGCAGACCTAGCAGACAACTACAGAGTGAATTCAGTGCACCCACCAATGGGGGGGGGGG